AAAAAAAAAAAAAAAAAATTATAAGCTCCTTTACAATCCACCAATAACAACTTAAATTTTTTTTTCTTTCCATACGAAATAAATAAATGATGGTCTACCAATTACAAACTTTTCCAAATAACAAAAGTCGATACATTCCACAAACGATTTATTGTATTTATTAAATTGGGAATAAAATATGATTGTAACCACCAGTAAAGTTGCTTAGTTTTATTTGTATTTTTATAAATTTATCTTTGCAGAATAACTGTTAAAGAGTTCAGAAAATCGGTAAAATAGCAATGAAATACAATTATAAATAAATTAGACTGGTTTTTCATCAGTTCATTTTGTTTAAAAAAGCAATAAATAGTTATTATTCACAGCTATCATATTCTACCATCTGAATTTAAATCTGTTACGAAGACTTGTCCAAATGTTTTCTGCAAACGGATATCCCGAAGAATAACGCAATTGAGAAGCTGCATCTGTCGAGTAATAAGGATCCTACAAAAAACTGCTATTACTACAAATAAGAGCTTGTATACCATTCTAATGCATTTATTTTAAATCCTTTATTACCTAATTGACTTCAAACCTGTTAAAAAACAAATTAAGATCCTTAAATAAATCCTTTCAGATATGGCCAGTAGGGTAGATTTGTGCCCAGTAGCAAAAAAAAATCTAATATCTCATCGTTTAATTCACTATTTATTATCAGAATCAGAAATCTAGTTCAAAGTTGCAAATACAGTCTTAAAACTATCTATTTCTGCAGTGTATAGTCGCGCCCTTCCTTATTCACTTGTAAGCTTAATTTAGTAAACATTTTAATTAACGCATCATAAATAAGTTTTTGTTAAAAATACCCCAAAAAAATAGAGATAAATAAAATTACTCGGTATACAGGTGTAGCAGTGACTAGTATAGAAAATGTCGTGGCCATAAGAAGACTGACCAAAATGAGAAGCTTCATTATTTATCTGCAAAAATACTCGGAAAATAACTAATTATTTTGATGAATATACATGCCTATCCACCCCGTTGGGCTTTATTATCAATACCTAAAAATATCAATAAAACCTAATTTATCACAGAGCAAGCATAACGAAAACTCAGGCAAGTTGCCGAATAAAAAATGGCAAATTTACTCATTGGTTTATGCACTCTAAAATATTATTTCATAGTTGTTACAAAACACTGATTTACAAACAGCAACTATTTAAAACTATACAATAATCAAAACAAAAAATCATTATTTCTTCTCTAAAGTGGAAGATCAACCGTGAATGCTAAAAAGGTTAGCCGACAACTGGTGTAGCCTACACTAATGGCCTAAAGCCCATTGCTTTTAAAGATATTTATCAGAGTGCAGGAAAAAAGAACTAGCTTACGGCTTCAGAAGACAAATGCAGTAATGGTAGAGATAATGACAGTGATGGTAATGGTGATGGTGACTGCTAAATATTATCGGCTTTTTATCAACAAGAGTGCTAAAGAGCTAAGATCAGTAAATAGCCAAGTACCTTTTACAGCGCTGTTTGCCGAAACGATAGTGTCCACTAGTGTTTGTACCAAACTAAGCGAAAGCTCATTGCACTGTAGTGAAGAGTCCAGGTAGAACTGGCTGCTGGTGCCGCTAATCGTATAGAGAAGAAAGCAAAGATTCATTGTCCTCTATTTAAACTGAAGTCTTTCTTCATCAATGTTCTCAGATATCAGCAGTACTTCAGTTTGGTGGTATCCTTTTGTAAGCAAAAAAACTGTTATTTATTGTTTCACGAAAACTTTGGTCTTTGTGCTGTTCAAAAAATTGCTCTGCATTAAGTCTCCTAACTTATTCTGACCAGTCCTTTCAACCACTTTCAGTTTACACTTTAACTGAAGAATCTGTTGTAATTATCAACTATCAATGTTCTTTCCATTTACGAGAACTTGCTCGTAAAATCAACTGCCTTAGTGCCCAGAAAAAGGAAATCAAACTCGTAATGGCAACATCTATTATCAATAAACTATTTATTTTATTATCGGTTTACACATTTGGAATACGGATACTCTGCAGCAACAAGATTTGTTTTAAAGTAGTATAGTTACTGTTTTTCAATAAAATATCTCCAATTTAGCATATTCTTTCCTCTCTTGTTCTCAAAGCAGAGTAAACCAGCAATCATTTACCACTATTTACCATAACCTTTGCATGGCATAGAAACGACTAGCCAACCTTTACATGCACAATTCAGACGCCTTTAAATGACTTCCCGTTGTAGTAGTCGGCTAATGACGATGATATTAGAGTGCAAACATTTGCCATTTCTGAGGGATCAAGAAGGTTAATCCAAGTGGACTAAGAGAGCATTAAATTGGTCATTGTCTTTCCAATCCTATCTAGTGTGGCCATTATCTGTTAAAAGTAAGGCAAAAATTCTCATATTTTTTCATATTTTAACTCCCGTATAATTAAATAGATCGGTCCTCTAGTGTTCCTTTTCCCTTTCTCCGACTCAACCAGACTGTAGGTTGCAAGTTATGTTATCTTACAGTTGTGAAGCAACAAAAAAAAATCAGTCTAACAAATACTTTGGAAACATGAGGTTATCTTATACGATGCAACTGGAAATGTTTGTTGATTTGATATCACTCCATAAAATATACCTCGCAAAATAGTATAAGTATCTGAAAAAAGAATAATTTGACAATGAACAATTTATTTTACCTTCTCAAAAAGAGAAGTTTTATTGATATCATTCAATTACGGTTCAAAGTTATTTATGAGAAAATTACAGTCTTTATGTGCTTACGTAAGTTTCACAGAATTACCATAAGAAAAACAATAATTAATTGTTGATTCTTTTCGAGACATATCAGTTGTTATCTGTTTCTTTATTCCTTCTGAACCTTCAAACAATGCAAAGGGAAAGAGAACTGTAGCCTAAATGAATAACGGCAAATAAGATGCGAAAAAAACTAATCAACCCCCAACAGTACTTTTTCATGCGAACTTTAGATTTGCGCAACAAGATAAACAAACATTTTATGAGCGGACACCGACTAAAGCAAATAAAAAATTGTGAAAATAATAATTTGCACTTACAGACCGACGTGAGTGTTATCAAAACACTTTAAATTATTTACGTAAATGTATTATATTGTTTCAATTTTTTCTCGACTGATTGTTTTGCTTTAACTGATTGCTCTTCAAGTTTCAATACATTCTACTGACGTTTCGGATGTTGTGCGTCATTTTAGGGCACTAAACAGATGTATATATGTTTACTGATTGTTTGTAGTAAATTTCATAACACCTTTCTTGTTAAAACAGGCAAATAAGCTGCAGATGAAAAATCACGATAACCGTTAAACATTTTTAAGCAGGATTTACCAGAAGCAGTTCGAAATAATAGTTGCTACACCTCCTTTTTCACCAATTTTCCAGCAGTTACGCTAGAAAAGATTTAATTGTACAGTTGACTTATCAGCTCACACTACCATTCGTCTTAAGCCATGTTCAAAAATGCTATTTTAAGCGGAAAATGAGAGAGTGAGGTGTGGAAAAAAATGATCAACACTACGCTCCGTCAGGTGTTTCATTGTAAGTCCAGCGAAAAACCCTCCCAATAGAATTTAAATTCTTTTTCTGTCCGCCCACCAAACTTGTCCCTGTCAGCCCGAAACTGCAAAAGATTATCACCAAAAAGAAGACTGTACAGCACTCAAAGCTGATCTTTTCCATTTCATCTGAAAAAAAGAAGCTTTATTTTGGCATTAATACGCTGCAAGAGTGCAATGCCTTTCATTCCAAATATATTTATATTACCGTCAAAAAACTTAGGCTAGATTCTTCTAAAACCTCTTTGTCGGACGTACTGGAAAATATTTACAAATCTTTTCATTCCTACTCCTTCGTGTTTTGACTGGACATCCCTGACAAACCACTTTGAGTCCCGTATTTCAGCCAAACTTATTCATACGGATCCCTATATAATAGCGGTTAAAATTATTCCCCTACTCGGTCCTTGATCACCCTTAAAATATCTACGATAAATGTAAATACTGAAAAGGCAGCACTGTCACTGTAAACATTTTTGCATACTTGAATTATTCTGATTCTTTCCGAATCAGAGATTTCTGAAACGATTACCTGAAGACAGAGTGGAGAAGTACAACTGTAAATCTCATCTTAATTCCGAATAATAAAAACGTCTCAAACTAAAGATTTATTAATATAGTTTCCATTTTCAAATATTTACTCTAAGTCTTCTATTTAAAGATTGTTTTCACTAAAGCTGTGTTTAACAAACTGAACGGCACCAATTATTAAACAGCATTTTATACCATATCTTCCTGTGTCAGCTAATCAAGACAAACTTGTAAAAATACCAAAGCATTGTCGAGTTCACTTATCACATTTCTGCGCTAACACCCTTTGATAAAACCCCAATTTGAATGACCTCCCCACCTCGCCTCTCAAAATTACCGCTGGACGATGCTTGACCAACAACAGTGACTGATAAGAATGTTCACCCATAATTTGTACTTCGAGAGTTCCGCTTCAGCTGTTCTGTTGCTGTGCTTTCGCATTTTGCAAGCACACCTGCACACCAGTTCCATTCCTAAATATCACTAAACGAACAACGATTTTAACCGGCTAACAATACCATCGCACAATTAACCCATAAAGATCCACCACTTTTGCAACAATGAGAACATTAAAAGCATCAAATACTAGAACTTCCAATAACACTCCAACCAAATTTTTTAGCATCATATTACTCGCCCAAATACTTTATGGTCTAAAAAAGTTATAATCACCTCACAAAACCCAATTTCACTTAAAAATATAATCCCGAAATATCCTCACACTGCTGCTGCTATTACTCTTTCAACAACGGTTTAAAGGTAGGCGATAAAAAAGAATTCAAAAAAACATACACCGAAACTAGAACTTCCATTTTTATAAAAATCAAAGTGACAGCAATATTATTCATAAAATATATCACATTACATTAAAAAATAAAAAATAAAATAAAAACTTCACATTACGATGATGTATATTTCGTAAATGTATTTGGCAAAGTAAAGACACACTAAGACTTGATTAAACGAACTGTGATTGGTGGGAGAGTGGAGCGGGACTGTGGGCAACAGAAAAGACAAAAATCATCGATTAACAGGAACAAAACTACTTCCAGTAAAGTTGTTATTTAAAAAGCATCAAAATAAAAAGTAATAAAAATAAAAGGAAATGAGATGTGGAAAACCTAGACGGAAAGCAATCAAGGCAGTATACAGAAAACAAAAACGAATGCATCATACAACATACACGCACGAACACAAAAAAGCACAATCACACACATATCAAAGACACACACATACATACATAAACACGCACACATACGCACCATACCGGTCTTCCACAAAGCTTCTTATTTGACACTGCGATGCTCACTTGTAGTACAACATCTCAAAAAAAGACCAGATAATCTTTGAAACACAAAAATATGAAATCATTATTGATAAATAAAATCTGATTTTCTTCTGCTGCCGCTGCTGCCGCCTCATCATCTTCTTCGCTACTCCTTCTCCTCTTTTTTTTCTTCTCCTTCTATAAATTCAAAGACAGCAAACAATGGATGAAATATGACCTTACATTTCGAGAGCAATAAGAAAAAACGAACCAGATGTATTTCAGGTGGGCTACCACAGTACGGACACGACGAAAGATATAAGTTCAAAGAAAAAAGACATAAATTATGAGTGATACGTGTACATTAGAAAACAAAGCTCATACTATCGCAGCTTATAAAGAGGCACAAAAATCAACTTAAAAAAAAACAATCTTTTAAAATGAGAACCTGTCGAATCTGTTCATTAATTTTATCAGACTGTCATTTTATTCTGACTGCTGACCTCAAATTGAAACTGATTTACAAATAAATAGCCTACAAACAACAGAAAACGTTAGGCGCCGTGCTGACCGCTCGAATCAATCGACGTCAACTGTGCCGGTGAAACTTAAAAACAAAAAATTATCAAGTTCCTGGCCTATTATTCTTCCGGGAAGCTTCGATTTGAACTCATAAATCTCTAAACCACTGATTAAGAATTTTAGTCGAAAAAAGTGAGAATAAAAGAGAAAAACTGGGGAAAAAACCGGAAAAAAGCTTCACATTAGAAAATCAGCTGCACACTTCTAGATTAAAAAATTATCTGTTGATCACTAAAACAAAAATATGCAAATGGCATTCTAAATTTTAACACTTACTCTTGTAGAAATTGAAGACACAAGAATAAACAAGAAACGTAACCTCATAATAACATCAAGCATCATATAATGCCAGTCAGAAAAAGAAAAATAACAAGCATAACATTTGACAGCAATAAGAACTCACGCAATTAACACAATAGGAAAGAATGAGAACAAAAAATCCGATTTACAGCATGCAAAACAATATCCATATGCAGTTTCTTGGAATGCTATGCCTATTAAAAACAAACCCAACTAACATCCCCATTCCTATCCAACATTTAAAAAATATAAAAAACCCATAATAAATTTTCAGCTAACTGTTTTTAACAGGCAATAAACGTGTGATTACGCCTATGAATGGCAACCGCTGATGCAGCGAACAACACAATGATAGTTTTCCTTACTAACAAGATTCCTCACAAGTTCAATTCCTGTGCAATTTTAGATGCAATATTTTTGAAGCCAATGGACGTACCCGAGATACGCTTAAATCGCACACCGTTTAAACTCAACCGCGGTAATTTGCAGACCTTGAAAACAATAATCATCACAAAAATTATACTTGAAAGTTTAAAAGATAGTGGCTCCAATTTCATAAAAACTTATATAAAGAGTATTTAAAAGAAGGCCAAAACCTCCATCTCCCACTGCACTAATGAGTCTGTCTGTGGGTCCCCATGTACACAGAGCAAAAGATAACGTTCACGTTGTTCATAATCGCAATTATTCTGGTCAAGTACCTTCCGAATCTCTCTGTAACAAATGCAACACTAGAAATTATTGCGATACTAAATACAAAATTTCTAGCTTCCAGAAAAATGAAACTTTGCTTCGGTCATTATAACATGAATATAAATAAGCTGTAGATTCAGAAACAAAATAAAATAATCCTTTACCAAAAAAAATGAAAAGAAGAAACTAATCCTCACCTCATCATCTCTTCGGGAGCAAGTGAACTGGTAGTTTTCATACTCCAAGTAAACCTTAAAGACCTTGGCTTAACATCCTCTCCATTACCGCCATTCTGACCATAACCAGTTGGCACATTCGATGATAACGAACCGTGTTGTTGAGCCGTCAGCTGTGCCAGAGCGGCTCCAGAGGCCGGTCCAATTGTTTCACATCTCCCATGTAGCACATTTCCTCCGCTGGGATTGACCGACGTCATGGCAGAACCCTCTGCGATTCCAGCCACGGGAGTTCTACGAGGAGAAGCATGATAACCAACAGTTGCAGGAGAACCTCCCACAGTATTACCAACGAAAAACGACGACGGTGGAGGCAACCCTCCAGAAACATTAATTGGGTGATGATGATGGTTTCCGCCGTTCACACCAGCAACTGTCCCCGCTGTAGTGCTCGATGTTACCACTGATGGACTAAAGGACTGAGTCGAATCACAAGAACGCAAGGAGCAAGTAACATTATAGGGCAGAGCTGCATATTGGGGAGCGGAGGATAGTGGCGACTGCACAGACTGTACTGCATCAGAATCACAGAAGGATTCTGGCGACGTTATTGTGACCGGTGACGGTGAAGGGTTAGAAGAAGGTGAGGTGACTGCAGCGGAAAGTGAAATAGAATGATGAAGAATACGCAAAGGAGTTGAAGAAGTTTCATGCCGAGGAATAACATGCGGAGTTAACGAAGAATTCTGTTTGTTAGCTACTCCGTGGCTCGTCATTTGCCCATTAGCATATTTTTGTAACTGCTGTTTTGTCGGTAAAAATTTGCTTCTGGTAGCTGAATTTTTTTCTGCATTTTTTACAACATCAGTGCGCTGCTTAGTACCGCTGGATAAAAGAGAACGCAAAGCGGTAGCATCAACTATACCATCATGCCGATCAGAAAAATTTTGATACCGTAAAGAAGTTGGGACATTTGAAGAAATGACAGTGCCAGCAGACTCGCGCCTAGGTTGCGAAGGAGAAAGACGCTTTTGAGCAGACGAACCACTACAAACAAAAGATGAGATTGATTGAAAATGGGTGAGAAAGTTGCATTTTTTTGCCAAGCTAAAGTATTCAAAAGCACAAAATAAACAAAACAATTACGGCACTGATCTTACACTATCATTCCAATTTTACCAATTTCCTTAAAAATGAATAAGAAATCCCATATAAGATTTGATGACACTGACAAAAATCCCAACTGAAAGGCTCAGTTTCCCTTCGGAAGTTTAAAGACTACTGACATGATTTTATGACAACGTAAGCAACACAAGACAGAAACGTAAGAAGTAAAAGTTTGTTAAAACTGCGAAGCAAGAAGCGAGAGTTAGAGGTTAGATTATGAAAAGATAAGAAAAGAAATTAAGAAATGTGATGCACTAAAGCTTTTTCTGCATAAAATGAATTTTTCTTGAAAGCAGGGATTCCTGCACAAACGTAATTCTGATAATGTGTGAAAACTAAGAAATAAAAATAAATTTTAAAGTTCGAAACTTAAATTAAAGCTTCGAAAACAAACAAAAAAAAAAAACTCAATAAAAAACACCCGTTTCTTCCCCCAAAATCAACTAAGGCATTAACTGCTTTTAAACGGCAAAACCAGGATTAGTAAACATTAGAAGGTAACCTAGCAAAGCCGAGCGTAACATATTTCTTGATCTTACATTTGGGTCTTGGTTTTTTTACCAAGCGTCGTGCCCACTGCGGTGACCGCTATACCGGTGCAGAAATCCCTCACTACTCTTTGAATTTGAAGAACGCGTCTCGCCATCACTGGCTTTTGAGAAAGAGAACGCCTAAGTACAACGAAAATTAAAACCCAAAATCACTTTCAACTGAATCTTAACGAATAAACTTGCTCATCTTCCCAATATCAAAATAAAGGACCAGGATGACAACCTAGTTAGAGGAAGAAACTAAGTGCCAAATTCTACGCCGCGAATCCAACATGATTAGATTTGGCAGTTCAATTTAAAAAATTAATGATGCTGCACAACCTCAACATAAGCTACTGTCTCATAAAAACCGCATATTGTACCCCAAATAGTAAGAAGAAAAACAAGACAAATAAAGAATACCAAAGTAGAAGAATGAAACAGAGCGATTGGAATAACAAAGGAAAGCAGAAAAGGAAAAAATGATGGAAGAAAGTCTTCATTTACTAAACACTTTCACACAGCAACAAGCTGCGGAGTACCAGTAATTGCAAACTAACATGCAGAAATCATAGATACCCAGTCACCAACTCTTAAATTTGCCGTACATACCACGATTTGAAACCTAGGGAAAGCAGGAGTTTGGAAAACAAGGAATGATGAATACAAACGGCATCAAAATTAAACTTGAGCCACAAGACTTCAGAATGCAAATGGCACGAGCAATGGAAGTTGCATGAGCAAAACGTGAAACCATCACCAAAACCGCGACCGAAGAAAATGCAGCCAAATGAGCAAAGCCATTATAAATAAAGTTAACTGTGCACTGTTTATGAAAATTGTATTTAAGTTAGTCAGAGACAAGTAATCATGTAACAATTAAAACTATATTCTGCATAACATTAAAAAGAACTTGAACTAGTAGTTAAAGCTCTAATGGGAGATCTAATAATACTTTTTTTAAGAGCATTAATAAGCACATAACTCTCCTTCAACTAGTCCGCTCTAGCTACAGCAATACAACTAAACTATACGTGAAAGTTAAAAATCCATCTTGTTAAGACTTGCCTATCTCATTCAATTACTCCTTTTGAAGTACTTGGATTTAAAAAGCGAATAAGTGCCAGATTAAGGCTACACTAGGTAAAACGAGCATAACAGCACGCATCTGCTGCTATATCTAATATATCTCGTACAAAAAAATTTTTGAATCAAAAAAGTTTACTCTCAATTACTACCACACAAATTTAGATCAACGTCTAAAAGACTTACCGGCGGGTTAACTTTGACAATTTAGATAAAAACGATCCTCTTGGGCCACCAGAAACTGTTGCTTGAGTACCTGGATGGCCAACGTCTTGTTCGCCTTCATTGTCTTCATGAGTTGCCTATATTACTTTGCTCGAAGACAGATAAAGTAAAAAATTAAGTTTCAAGTTACTACTTTCCAGAAAAGGTAAGCTGTCAAAAAAACATTTGAAAACTGCAGCGAGTCTGTACAGAATAAAATAGGTGTACTTTGTCCCGTTCAGTTTTGCCATGGAAAGTCTGTCTACTGCGAGCATTACGTGGAAAGGTTGATTTCGGCGGAGTTGAGTCTGATACCGGTGGTGGTTGCGGAATAGACTGTACCTGAACAGAAAAAATAAAAAAAATAACAAACACATTAACGTGTAATTTGTATTAACTGGATCTTTTTAATTCATTCTCTAATACAGTAAAGAATTAAACGTTTCTTAAAACCACAAACTAACGAAAAAATATCACTGGAAGCAACAAAGTTGTTCCGTTTCTTATAAATGATACCTGTTGCGCAGTAACTGCAGGTGCTGAGGGAAGTAGATGATTGCTTGCAGTGGCTGATTTTGTGAGTTTTGGGCTTTCGCTTCGTGACGTTGCCACTGTCTCATTGACCGACGCGTTTTTCATGATAGTGGGAGGCATCGACGGGCTGGGGTGGAGAGAGGGCCTGAAGCAACTGTACTACCATGTATAATAAAAAGTATTCATTATAAAATGAAGAAACCTTAGAGTAAAAGAAACCTACAACCCACTTCAATTTTCAAAACTACCTCTCACTGAAGAAGTTAAAGGTCATCCACATTATTAAAATTTATCGGCTAGCCTACAAAGGAATGTTGACAAAATCTAAATGCTGCAGAAACTCAGTGAACTTAATCTCAAGTAAAACATAGCTGATAAGGAGCTCTGGATCCTTTATGCAAATAACAACAAAATGACAATATTTCACTAACATGCGCAAATCATTTTCTTTAATTCCTATCATTAATTACGCAGCAGAAAAATAAGAGCTTTCACTATAAAGATACGTTTTAAGATAGTACATACTCGATTTTATCTTCAACTTCCCTTCTGTTCCATGTGGTAAACAGAGAATTTACACCTTGCGAGAAACCAGCAAGGCTCACGATTGCTCTGCCACTCACCGAATTCATCCTTTTCGGATTTATTGAAGATCGAGTAGTCTGCTCATCAGGATTTCTAAGGGTTTTCGGGATCCTAATAACATGTGATTTCTGATTTTAAAACAAGATAACAAAGGTTTTCCTGACCTTCAAAAAAAATGGACTTATTTTCAAAAATTAAATTTTAACCGGCTGGGGTTACTGATTTTTAAAAGGTAAATTCAATCGTTATGTAAAAAAACATCAAGCAAAAATTTTTTCCTATCTCCCAAATTGTTATACAAGTATATATGTATGCCAGCAATCACTACTTTTTTGCCTGATGAAGTACCAACGTCGATTCTCATAGAGTCAGTTTTTTCTACACCAAAATTTTCTGAACTTTTCAATTCCGGAAAATATGGTAGTGAATAACTCGAAACCACCTAACACTTTCTGAAATTTGTGCTCAATGCACTGGCTGATTTTGTGGTTGAAAAATGAAAGCTTCTCTTTTCATACAGAAACAGGCTGTTTCTAAAAATCAACCTATAAGTTTTCTGACACTAAGATTACTAAATGAGAGCAAACACTCTTGTTTCTGAAAATCTTAGTATGTAATCTGTTCTCCTTCCCCTTTAAAATCCTTTAAACTGTATTTCCAAAGTGATAAAACATGAAAATTTGACCTCAGAACACACATCGCGAAGTGGCTGAGAGTAACTGATAAAAAAATGTCAGTTTTCGAAAACTAAAAAACTATTATTTTTTGACATGAAAACCACAAAAAGAACTTTGCATGAAGCCCAGACAGCACAGGGAGATTCTGAATTATACACCATCGAACACTCTAAATAAATTGAGAACCCAGAACTTCAGCTTAAAAAAACTGTTCTGAAGAGAATCTACGTCAGTATTTTAGCAGAAAAGGAGCCAGTGGTCAAGAGCATATATAATATACTAGTAATTTGACCAATAAAAAACAAAGCTTAGCTCACAATTCCACCAGGCAATAAAATTCAACCTCTTAAACCAAGTGCCATAAGTAGTCGCGAAATAACTGACTAGAATATGATTTTTTTTTCATAAACTAGTGAAATTCCTTTCTTTTTCTTTAAAAATAGGCATGTCATGAGGACTCTGAAAAACCTTCAGTGA